CCCTCCCTTTCTTCCATTTACTTATTTTGCTTTTGGCTATGCCTGGTCTTAGTTGCAGCACGTAGGACCTTTTAGTTGCGGGACGCGGACTCTTTGTTGTGGCATGCATGCAGGATCTAGTTCCCTGACCAAGGATTGAACCCGGGCCTCCTGCATTGGGAGCGCCGAGTCTTACCCACTGGACCACCAGGGAAGTCCCTCAGCAGTTTCTTAAAAGGGCTCTAATTTACTCTGTCATCAGACTCCCTATATATATTTAGGACAGAATGGAGTCTTCCAATACATCTAGTTCAGATCTTTCATTTTTCACACACAGAAAGAGCCTAAATGAATTATCCCCATGCTGGGAGTGTAAACTGAAACCACTCTCTCCCCCTTTTCAAAATAATAAAAAATTTTTTTAAGTTTTTTTTTTTAATATTTTTAAGCTAAACTTTAAAATTTTTATTTGGAAATAATTTCAAACAGGAAAGTTGGAAGAATAAGAATAGTACAAAGACTATCCATACACCTTTTGTAAACCTTTTACTCTATTTTCATAGTTCTCTATCTATAAATATACATATTTATTTACATATATATGTATTTATAAGTAGATATACATACCCCATATTTTTTTTTCAGAATCATTTGAGGGCTTAGAGACATACATCATGGCCCCTAAGTACTTTAGTGTTTATTTCCTGAGACTAGGGATATTCTCTTCTAACTTCAGTACATTCTAGCCTCAGTAGAGTTGCCAACTTTAGTAAGTATAACACTGATAAAATACTTTTATCTAACCTGCCGTCTGTATTCCGGTTTTGTCAGCTGACTCAATAATGTCCTTGACGATGTTTTTTTTCCTTCCCATACAGGATACAGTCAGGGTTCAGGTCTTGCATTAAGTTGCTGTGTCTCTTTAGCCTCCTTTAAACTAAAACATGTCCACAGCCTTTGTCTTTAGTGATTGACACTTTTGAAGAATACAGCCCCTTTCTCCCCTTTTTAAAACTAGAGGTTTCTCATTTTGGGTTTGTCTGGTCTTGCTCTGTTCCCCATTAGCGATGTTAATTTTGAAAACACAGTCAACGGGGCCTTCCCTGGTGGCGCAGTGGTTGAGAGTCCGCCTGCCGATGCAGGGTTCATGCCCCGATCTGGGAAGATCCCACATGCCATGGAGTGGCTGGGCCCGTGAGTCATGGCCGCTGAGTCTGTGCATCCGGAGCCTGTGCTCCGCAACAGGAGAGGCCACAACAGTGAGAGGCCCGCATACCGCAAAAAAAAAAAAAAGAAAACCCAGTCAAGGTGTGCATTTGAGTTCTTCACTGTTTAATGTAATAAGCAACCCATAAGGAGACACTTTCAGGCCATAAAATATCCTGTTCCTCATCAGAATTTCTCCCTAGTTAGCATCCATTGATGATTTTTGCCTGATCCAGTCTTTACTACGATGGGCGCAAAATGATTTTTCCCCCTGCATCCAGCACTCTCTCCATATTTACTAGTTAGCACTTAGCATTCTAGTATAATCAAGAGACCTCCTGTTTCACTTATTTATTATAAGTATGCACACATGAATTCCTTTATTTTCAGTGGTTTATAATTCATTATCATACTTACTTTGGTTCTCAGATTGTCCTAATTTGAACACTGTGAGCCCCTTCAAGCCAGCTCTTGCAACCTTGTGACGTGCCTCATCGCTTTTTTGAGCGTCTCCTTACTTTTTGGCATGGCTACATGTTCGAGGTGCATCTTCTACCTCCCATGCCCCAGCCCTAGAATCAGCCACTTCTCTGAGGAGCCCTTGGTCCTTTTAGAAAGGAGTGACATTAGAGACCAAGATATGGCCATTGCTTATTTCTACTAGAGTATCTTGGCATCTGGGCCTTTTTGGCCCACGGCGCTGGGAAATACATGGTAGGTATATGCTACGTACATATATACCAGTATATGTACATAGTTGCATATACATGCATATATCCATAGATGCACTTTCTTAGAAATCATGAGTTCATGCTGATAACCCCCAGTTCACCTTCCTAGGCTCTTTTCTTGTCCCCCCACTCCCACCATGTTCCTTGTTTGTGTGTCCTTTCCTCAGTGAAAACCCTGGCTCCCAGCATTAGCACGATTATTCATTTGCTCAGTCTTTTAATACATCCAGAATTATTTCAGAATTGCTCTGTGCATACCACTACATAACACAGACCCACTTCAACAAGTTCGGGATTTGTTTGCAATTCTCTGCATCACCCAAGACTGAAGGTCTTTTGTTAAATGTTCATAAGTTACTTGGATTGGTTCTTTTTTTTTCCCCTCATTGTGGCTGTGATATTCCTTTAAAATACTTTTTTGGTTCATCTGTTCGTTCTGCTTTCAGTTTTCCCTTCCCATATGTAGTGGTTTAGTTTTCTAATTTGTAGAACATAAGTATGCTTCCAAAAGTCAAAGCTATGCAAAAAGGTGTATTTGGAGAATTGTTGCTCCTTCCTAGGTCTCTTCCACTCCTTTCCATTCCCCCTGCTCCAACCCTTCGTAGGTATTGTTTTCTAATTTATCTGTCCTTTATTTCATTTTGCAAAGACAGACGTGTATATGTTTTTGCTTTTGTTTTCCCTAATTTTTTCCTGAAAAGGTAGCATACTACGTATGCTCTTTTGCACCTTGTTTTTTTCACTTAATAGTATCTCCTGGAAATACAATGCTGCTTTATAGAGATTGTTATTTTTATTTATTTATATATATAATTTTTGCGGTACGCGGGCCTCTCACTGTTGTGGCCTCTCCCGTTGCGGAGCATAGGCTCCGGACGCACAGGCTCAGCAGCCATGGCTCATGGGCCCAGCCGCTCTGTGGCATGTGGGATCTTCCCGGACTGGGGCACGAACCTGTGTCCCCTGCATCGGCAGGCGGACTCTCAACCACTGCGCCACCAGGGAAGCCCCCGAGATTGTTATTTTTTTTATAGTTGCATAGTACTCCATTATGTGAATGTAACATAGTTTAACTACTGTCCAGTGCTTGGACATCAAAGTAGTATTTTGCAGTTATAAATAATGTTCTAATGCATAACCTTATACTGTTGGAGGTGTATATTCAGGGTAAATTCCTAGAAGTGGGATTTCTAGGTCCAAAGATAAATGGATGCATTTATTTAGATAGTGCTAAATTCCCTTCTATAGAAGTTGTGCCATTTTGCATTCCCGTCAGCAATATATGAGGATGCCTATTTCCCCACAGTCTTCTTAAGAAAGTATATTATCAAGCTTTTGAATTTTTGCCAATCTGATGGGTAAGAACTTATATCTCAGTGTAGATTTCTCTTATGAGTGAAGTTGAATGTCTTTTCATGTTTAAGGTCCATTTTATCTCTCTCTTTTTTTCCTAATTATCTCTTTGTGACTTTCACAGTAGGATTTTTGGTCTTTTATTTTCCTCTCAATTTTTAAAAGTTCTTTCTATATTAAAGATGTTAGCCCTTTATGATATGTTTACAAGTATTTTCTTATAGTTTATTTGCTTTTTAAACTTTGCTTATGGTGTTCTTTGCCAAAAAAGAGCTTTTTGTTTGTTTTGTTTAGTCAAATTTATTACTCTTTTATTGCCTCTGAAGTTTGATTGATGGTAAAAAGTCTTTCCCTCCTCCTAGGTTACAGAAAAGTTCTGGAACCCTTTGTGAAGGACACTTTGGCTGTGTGTATCAGAAACCCTCTGTACACTCAACAGTTCTAGTTCTAGGAAAATAGAAATCCTGAGGAACAAAATGTGAACTGTTATTTGTACAGGAATGTTGATCTCAGCATTTTTTATAATAGTGAAAAACTGGAAACAATTTAAGTATCCACCAATAGGAAACTGGTTAGATTAGTGGTTCTCAGTCTTATGAGACCCAGTGATTTCTTTTTATAATGTTTTTAAAGCCCCTTTTAAAACTATTTGGAAATGAAATACATAGATAATATAACATAACTATGCCCATGATTTCAAAGAAATAAAAATAATGCCCTAGGACTTCCCTGGTGGCACAGTGGTTAAGAAATCTACGTGTGAATGCAGGAGACACGGGTTCAATTCCTGGTCCGGAAAGATCTCACATGCCATGGAGCAACTAAGCCCATGCACCACAACTACTGAGCCTGTGCTGTAAGCCCACGAGTCACAACCACTGAAGCCCGAGCGCCTAGAGCCTGTGCTCCGCAACAAGAGAAGCCATCTCAATGAGAAACCGGCGCACCACAACGAAGAGTATTCCCCACTCGCCGCAACGAGAGAAAGCCTGTGCGCAGCAATGAAGACCCAACACAGCCAAAAATAAATTAATTAATTTAAAAATAATAATAATGCCCTAACTATACTATAAAAGATAAAAGAGAAGTGATTTGTAATAAATAATATAATTTATAATAATATGTATCAATATGATTAGACACTACAGTGGAAAACATAATGCCTTTAGTCAGATGCTTGTACCTGTAAGTCAAGTCACTGTGCATATTACAACTACAGATGCACAGTGATTCACGTGTGTTGTATTGGTGACTCAAATACCACAAGCCTGAATAACTCTTAGTAAAGTTCTGAACAAAACAAGGTAGAATCTCCTCTTGACGTAATGCAGTTGCCTTCCTGGAAAATTCAATACATATTAAAACTGTCAAAAACATTTTATTTAGTATGGAATTATGTTCCAGGTCATGTCATTATGAGCAAGTTTTCACCTACTTGAACGTCTGGTGAGACATTTGAAAGTTGTGCAGGAGACTGGCCAATTCTTTGTTGTGTAGGAGTATCTTGAGTGTTGAAGGATATCTAGCATCCCTGATCCCAGCCTGCTAAGTGCCAGTAGTGCTCCCTAGTCATTGTGGCAACAAAAAAGCATCTCCTCAGATTTCCATAATGCCTTCCTAGGAGGCAGTTGAAAACCATTAGGTTAGATTAAATAGATTGATGGACTATTATTCATCCATTAAAAAGAGTGAGGAAGATCTATGTGTACCATCATGAAAGATGTTGACAATATATTATCAAGTGAAAAAACAGGCTATGAAACGTGTGGTATCCCACTTTTGTTAAAATATACACACATGTACATAGAAGAAGGGCTGGAAATCAGAATGTTAATAGAGGATGACATACTTTATACTTTTTATTGTCTAAAATTTTTGAAACTATAAATTGGACTTTTACAAAATAATTATCTTTTTTTTTAAACATCTTTATTGGAGTATAATTGCTTTACAGTGGTATGTTAGTTTCTGCTTTAAAACAAAGTGAATCAGCTATACATACACATATATCCCCATACCTTCTCCTTCTTGTGTCTCCCTCCCATCCTCCCTATCCCACCCCTCTAGGTGGTCACAAAGCACTGAGCTGATCTCCCTGTGCTATGCGACTGCTTCCCACTAGCTAGCTAGGGGGCACGAATCTGCGCCCCCTGCATCAGCAGGCGGACTCTCAACCACTGCGCCACCAGGGAAGCCCCTGTTTGTAGATTTTTGATGATGGTCATTCTCACTGGTGTGAGATGATACCTCATTGTAGTTTTGATTTGCATTTCTCTAAAAAACAATTACTTCTTGACATGAGGGTTTAAAAACTCTTTAGGTCAGTCATTGGCCAATTTTTTGTTGTTGAAGAAAGTTTGAGGAAAGAAAAGCAAGCTCATATCATTAAAAGAAAAGGATGCGAGGGCTTCCCTGGTGGCGCAGTGGTTGAGAGTCTGCCTGCCGATGCAGGGGACACAGGTTCGTGTCTAGGTCCGGGAGGATCCCACGTGCCGTGGAGCAGCTGGGTCCGTGAGCCATGGCCGCTGAGCCTGCACGTCCGGACCCTGTGCTCCGCAACAGGAGAGGCCACGACAGAGGCCCACGTACTGCAAAAAAAAAAAAAGAAAAGGATGTGAGGAAGAAGGTAATTTGGTAAAAATTGACATTTAATATAAAATAATTTTTGTTCTTCCATGTCAAAATTTTAAATGGCAGAAGTGGGGTAGTTGCTGTTCCACATGTTTATTTTGAAGCTACTGCCAGAAAGATTACCTTTCTTTCCTCTGTCATTTTTTTCTCCAGGTCTTCATTTAGAAGCAAAAGAAAAGAACAGTAATCACCACTTACAGGAGGGAAAGTTGCCTTGAAGAGTGTTTCTTGGACTTTAGGAAGGAAAATGCTATTGCAGAATGTGAGAAATTCTGCCCCAGGCCAAACAGATTAAATCCCTTCTCTACCTTCAGAGCCTGTTTTCTTAGACTTCTGTTGATCACAGAGAACAACTCTGCTAGGTTGCCCTGACTCAAGAGTGGCAGAGTTTGGGACAGCCAGGGACACACACATCTGCATTTTTATGACTTTAGAGAGTTTGGATTATACTCCTTGCCTTAATATTGCAGAGACAGTACTGTCATTGGAACTGGAGGAAGGTCTGCTCTGTTCTCTGCTTACTGTGGGAGAAAGGGAGGGAGGTGTCCTGGGTTTAACTCCCAAATCAAATATAAAGTAGTACATCCCAAGACATGTTTAAAGGGTTTTTCTTTACCAGCTTTTTATTATGAAAAATTTCAAACTTATAGAAAGTTGAAAGAACAGTACAGCAATTATTGCCCATTACCCAGACCCAGCAGTTATTAACATTTTGTCAGATTGGCTTTATCTATAACTATATATGTGTTATGTAGGTATGTGACATTATTTTCCCCTGGGAAAATAAATTGTGGGCATTATGAAACTTCCAGTTAAAACATGTGTTTGTAAATTTCTCTGCAGGGGCAATATCTACTTAAATGCTATTTAAAATAGTAGATATACTGTAGGTAGGAACAAAGCTGGCCTGAAATAAAAAGGAACATAATTTTTGTTTTTTCTTATTTGGAATGAGCTCATCTTGTCTCCATGAACTTTTCAACACAGCTTACCACCTTGTGTAATCATTTGCAGATTTTCACCTTCTCGCATTTAAGATAATCATAAGGTGTTTTGAAGCTAGTATATTTTTCTTTTTGTTATAGATGATCCCTCTGATAAGCCACCTTGCCGAGGCTGCTCCTCCTACCTCATGGAGCCTTATATCAAGTGTGCTGAATGTGGGCCACCTCCTTTTTTCCTGTGCTTACAGGTAACTCTTTAAGGGGAGGCTTGCCTAGTTTTATGGATATAGTAAATTCAGAGATGACTATCAATTGCTCAGAAGGACCATACCTTATTAAGTCTATTATTGAATTACACATTTTACCAGTGAAAAATTGGGGAACAGAGCAGGATGGATGAGATAGACTGTTGAATATTCCACTTCCCTGTATCAACCTAATGCTGTTTTTACCAGTAAATTTCAAGTATTGGGACTATAGGAAATAGAATTGGAGGATTATTCCTTTTGATAGCACCTATGACACTGTTTTTTGTCTTACTGAGGGGTGATGTTTGGGCAGTTGACAAACCAGGGAACAAACTATTTCGTCGATGATAGTGGTAATAGCAATACTAATGATAAGTGCTGGGCTTCCCTCGTAGCGTAGTGGTTAAGAATCCACCTGCCAATGCAGGGGACATGGGTTTGGGCCCTGGTTCTGGGAGATCCCACATGCTGCAGAGCAACTAAGCCCATGCGTCACAACTACTGGGCCTGCTCTCTAGAGCCCACTAGCCACAGCTACTGAGCCCGCGTGCCACAACTACTGAAGCCCACATGCCTAGAGCCCATGCTCCGCAACAAGAGAAGCCACTGCAATGAGAAGCCCTCACACCGCAACAAAGAGTAGCCCCCGCTCACCACAACTAAAGAAAGCCTGTGCACAGCAACAAAGACCCAATGCAGCCAAAATAAATAAAATTTTAAAAAATTGTTTAAAAAAAATACTAATGATAAGTGCTTACTCTGTGCCAGGCACTATCTTGAGTACTTTGCATGAATTAACCTTTAAATCATAACTGCAACCCTAGGAAGTAACTATGATTAGTATCCCTATATTATAAAGGAAACTCAGGCAAAGAAAGGTTAAATAATTGGCTCAAGGTCACACAGCAAATACCATATTTTATCAGATCCAAGATGCTATTGATTAAAAGAAGCATCCCAATTTCAGAATGTAAAGTGTAAAAATAGCTGATGGAAGTTGTAATATACTTTTTATTATAAGATGAATCCACATTTCAGAGTTTTAAAATATGAAATAATACATGTCTTAGAATTGCTGAAATAAGCTAAGAGCCAGGATTCAAATTTAGGCAGTCTGCTTCCAGGGCTTATGCTTTTATAAAAGGAGGAGTTGTCCTAGGAAAAACTTTTTTTCAGATCATTGTTTTTCTCTATGTGGGCCATTGAAAGGCTGCTTAACCTTCCTGTTGTGGCTGCAGACAAGACTAAATGAATTCTTAAAAACTCATCACAAGAGTAAAATACCCCCAAGCCATCTTCTATCCTTTAAGAAAGCATTTCAAAATGTAGCTTTTTGGTAACTTAGTTTTCTTTTCTTTTGCAGTGTTTCACTCGAGGATTTGAGTACAAGAAACATCAAAGTGATCATACTTACGAAATAATGGTAATGATGAAGTTGTAGGAATTTCCCTTCATTTTCAAGTATTATACTGGGAATTAGTCTTTTTATTTCTTCATCTGCAAGTATCTCACTTTTCTTTCGCCCACTTCTGGATTAGGTAATCATTGCGCAATAAGCTTTTTAGGGTTTTATGGATCTTCTAAGGCATTTAAGTCCAAAAAATCATTTTATATACTCAGATTTTTGGTTTAAATTAGAAGGAATTTAAAGGAAGTGCTTTTTGAGATTTACTAATATAAGGATCAGAGGTTTGTGGTTTTCTAAGTTCATTGATAAAAACGTAGTAAATATGTTGTCGCTGTGTTTGGCTAATGGTATTTTTATGTGGTTTGTGTGAGCAGTGGTGATATTTATATCTGGCACTCCACCTCCCCAGCCTTGGGAAAATTAGTTACCCTCAGAGAGTTAAGTTGTAGAATGGATGTAGGGTGAATAACATAGTAATATACAAAATCATTTTGAAGAGGTAGACTGATTATAGGCCAGAATAAGACTTGGCTGTAGGGCTTCCCTGGTGGCGCAGTGGTTGAGAGTCCGCCTGCCGATGCAGGGGACATGGGTTCGTGCCCCAGTCCGGGAAGATCCCACATGCCACGGAGCGGCTGGGCCTGTGAGCCATGGCCGCTGAGCTTGCGCGTCCGGAGCCTGTGCTCCACAACGGGAGAGGCCACAACAGTGAGAGGCCCGTGTACCGAAAAAAAAAAAAAAAAGACTTGGCTGTAATTTGATTGTTTGCCACCTCTAAAGAAGGAATGAGAGGCAGATGTTGGCAGTGTCCTTCCAATATCTAGCCAGAGGAACGGGCACTTTAATAAGCCAAAGTGAATATGTGGTATGTTTGACAGGTGTATATACAGTACCTTTGTCAGTTATCAGAGCCTAACTCCTAGTTCACCAAGTAGTTTTCTTACATTTGGCCTCCCATGTTGTTTTTCTTACAGGAAGGAATGCTGGTTGGGCATCTACTTGACAGTAATTTCACATCATGGGTTAATCCATTGATACATGTGTTTTCTCTTGCTGCCGTAACAACTTAACCAAAAATGAAGGAGCTTAAACAACAACACAAATTTATCATCTCACAATTCTGTTGGTCAGAAGACCATTAGACTCAGTGGTTTGCTCCAGATTCTGTAAGGCTGAAATGAAAGTGTTTACCTGTCTTGGGTTTTTATCTGGAGACCCTGCGGGAGAATCCACTTCCAGTCTACTTCCATTCTCATTCAAGTTGTTGACAGAATTCACTGCTGGGAGGTTGTAGGACTGATGCTACTGTTTCCTTATTAGTTGTTGGCCAGGGCTTACTCTTAGTCTCTAGAGGTTCCTGGCCCTCATTCTCAGTATTCAAAACCAGCAATGGCAGGGAGTCCTTGAGGGTTACTGATGTAATGCTTGGCGTCTCTCTGACCTCTCCTGGTTCATCTCTCCTGGGCTGAATCTCTCTGACTCTTCTGCCTCTCTCTTCTACTTTTAAGGGCTGTGTGATTATATTGGGTCCACCAGCATAATCTCCTTATTTTACAGTCAGTTGATTAGTACCTTAATCCCATTAGCATAGTCCCTTCACAGTAATATCTAGTTAGTGTTTGATTGAATAATCAGGGGACTGGAATCTTGGGGGCACTGGGGGACATCTTTAGAATTCTGTATACTGCAGCACTGTAGCATATCTACTTCAGTCTCTTAAAAGTTTAGAAAGGGTAACTCAGCATCTCCAAGTCTGATTATTTATGAAGTCTTATTTAAGTGAGTTTCTGGGCCTGTAATGCTGAGAGTCAGATCCTGGTCCATAATGAATTAGTCAAAGAAATGCTCCTTAGTAAGAGTTCTTGGGCAGCCAGCTGTCTAGCCTTCCCCTGCCTCTTTCTAAACACCCTCAGTCTTCTAAGTAGTTTCTTCACTAACTATAAGATTTGGAATACATTTTTTAATATCAGACTGTTTTTTAGAGAGTTACAGGTTCACAGCAAAATTGAGTGGAAAGTACAGAAATTTTTCTGCCCCCGCAAATGCATAACCTCCCCCATTATCAACATCCCCCACCAGAATTGTACATACATTATCATTGACAACCTACATTGACACCTCATTATCACCCAAAGTCCATAGTTTACATTAGGGTTCACTCTTGGTGATGTACATTCTTTGGGTTTGTAGAAATATATAATGACGTGTACCCACCATTATAGTATCATACAGAGTAGTTTCATGTTCCTAAAAATCTTCTGTGTTCTGCCTGTTCATCCGTGCCTCCCCCCAGCCTCTGGTAACTACTGATCTTTTTACAATCTCCCTGGTTTTGCCTTGTCCAAGATGTCATATAGTTGGAATCATACAGCGTGTAGCCTTTTCAGATTGGCTTCTTTCACCAAGTAATATGTATTTAAGTTTCCTCCATGTCTTTTCATGGCTTAATAGGTCATTTCTTTTTTAGCACTGAATAATATTCTGTTGTCTGTATGTACCACAGTTTATTTATTCATCCACCTACTGAAGGACATGTTGGTTGCTTCCAAGTTTTGACAATTAAGAATAAAGCAGCTATAAATATCCATGTGCAGGTTTTTCTATGGACATAAGTTTTCAACTCCTTTGGGTAAATACCAAGGAATATAGCTGCTGGATATCATGGTAAGAGTATGTTTAGTTTTGTAAGAAACTGTCAAAATGCCCAAAGTGGCTGTACCATTTTGCATTCCCACCAGCAGTGAAAGAGAGTTCCTGTTGCTCCACATCCTCATCAGCATTTGGTGTTGTCAGTGTTCTGGATTTTGGCCATTCTGATAGGTATATAGCGCTATCTTGTTGTTTTAACTTGCATTTCTCTGACAGCATATGATGTGGAACATCTTTGCATATGAATAATTTTTTTTCCCTTTTGTTAATTGCAAAATGAGTGAAGGGCTGGGGGAGAGTATGGTCAAAGTAGCTGTGGCTTTGAGTTCATTTCACCAGGGTTATCAGATCTTCAGAAAGTTGGCTTATTCTTCCTAAATTCACACAAGAATGCCTAGAACCAGAATACAAATTTATTCATTTGAATTGTGAAAATAATTCCTTAAAGGTTAATTCAGTATAGTTTGGGTAGATTGAAGTTATCCACTGCTGGAAAGCTGACCATGAGCTCTCTTCAGCTGTTCTGGGCACCATCCCTTCTGCATAATGCTGACGGCACGAAGTTTCACTCCAAGTCCACCTAACTCTTCAGATTACTTCATCCTTCTCTCACATATTCTACACCCATACAAACAGATTTCAGAATTCTGTCCTTTATTTTGTAGAGCTTTTGGAGGTTACTAATACTCTCTTTTTTCTGCTAGTCTTTATCTATTCCCAGATAAGGAAAAGAAGAATCTTTCCTTCCGTAGGAATGATGACCAAATTTTGCTTCTCTACACACGAAACCACTAAAAACTTGATTTTCTCTCTTTTTTTCTTTTTGCATATGAAGCCTCAGAAAACTTTAAATGGTTTTCAGTACTTTTGCCATCTCACAGTGCTGTATTTTTGGAAGTTGCTCATGCTGTAGTGGGTGGTGCATTAATCAAGATTTCTGAGTTCTTTGCCTATTTTTGTCTTATAATTCTTAGAATCTTAAACAAGTCAAGGCACCTCTTTCAGCCACACCCTTTATACCAGTGATTCTTAAACTTTAGTGCATAAGAATCACCTGGGAGATTCTTAAAATTATAGATTCCTAGGCCTCACTGTTAGAAATTCTGGTTCAGTAGGGCCAAGATTGGGTCCAGAAATTGAATAATATTGATTCAACTTTAAGAAAAACTGACTTATGCCCATTTATTTTTTGGTGTAGAAAGTCTGGTTTATCTCACAGTAAAGTTGGTGAGGACTAATTAATATTCTAAAATACTCTTTTAGAAATAACAGGCTTTTCAACTATGAGTTGTCATATTTACCTGTATTTATGGTACTTTCCAGATTGAGTGATTATTTTGAATTTAATACAGACATAGACTCTGAAATTTCTCTTTCGGATCTCATATCCAAAATATCTCATGTGAGGCATATTCCTAGTATGTGCTCAGATAAAATGTATTGCTTATTAGTAATGTAATTTCACAGATCACAGCTTTTTTTTTGCCATTAACAAAAGATAGAACAATTTATAAATGCCCGTGTGATCTGAGGATTTCTTGTGTCACTTTTTTTTTTTTTAACTTATAGTAAATTTCAAGCATATACTAAAATACAGAAAATGGTGTTTCAGTTATCTGTTGCCCCTAATAGCTGCCTCAAAACTTCATGGTTTAGGGACTTCCCTGGTGGCATAATGGTTAAGAATCTGCCTGCCAGTGCAGGGGACACGAGCCCTGGTCCGGGAAGATCCCACATGCCGTGGAGCAACTAAGCCCATGCGCCACAACTAAAAAGCCCATGCTCTAGAGCCCACGAGCCACAACTGCTGAGCCCACGTGCTGCAACTACAGAAGCCCATGCATCTAGAGCCCATGCTCTGCAACAAAGAGAAGCCACCGCGATGAGAAGCCCGCGCACCGCAAGAGTAGCCCCTGCTCGCCACAACTAGAGAAAGCCCACGCGCAGCAACGAAGACCCAACACAGCCAAAGATTAATTAATTAATTATTAACAAACAAACGAGAAAGCTTCATGGTTTAAAATAACAGCCATTCTATTATCTCTCACAGTTTTGTGGGTCAGGAATTCAGATTGGCACCATGAGAGTAGCTTTCATTGGTTCCACATGGTGTGCTGGGAATGGAAGTCCAAGGGGGTTTTTTCACTTTTAGCACCTCAGAATGGCTTGAGTTGGTTGAACTGGAGCATCTTAACTGCCTGAGGCCTTTGGTTCCTCTCCAGGTAGCCTTAGGGCCTCTCCCTCTCCATGTGGCCTCTCCACATGGTCTTTCCAGAAAGGAGGCTAGAATTCTTATGTGGTGGTTCAGGGCTACCAAAGGCGAAAAAGTAGAAGCTGCTAGGCCTTCTTAAGCAAATCACAGGTTCAGCCCATATTAAATGGGAAGGGACCACATGAAGATGTGAATTCTAGAAGTTCATTGGGGGCCACCATTGTAATCAACTACCACATATAGTGTAATAAATTCCCATATACCTGTCACTGGTTCTTAAAATTACCAACTCATACCCTATCTTGTTTCATCTAAACCCGTACCCCTCCGGCTTATTTTGAAACAAATACCCTAGATATCGTATCATTTCATCTGTAAATGTCTCATTAGGTCACTCTAAAATTATAAAGTAACTCAGGGCACTTTTCACATTTCTCCAGTCATCTCAAAAAAGCTTTTTTAAAAAAACTCTGCTCTCTTCTCCACACCTGAAACAATCACTATTCTGATTTTTATTACCATAGATCAGTTTTGCATATTCTAGAACTGCATATAAATGGATTCATTCTGTATATACTCTTGTTTCTGGTTTCTTTCATTCAGCATGTTTTTGAGATTTACTCAAGTTGTATATAATAATAGTTCATTCTTTTTTGTTACTGAGTAATATTTCATGGTATGAATATAGCACAGTTTGTTTATCCATTCTCCTGATAGAGACTGGGCTTTGCCTAGTTTGGGGCTATTAAGAATAAAGCTGCTGTGAGCGACTTCCCTGGTGGTCCTGGTTGGGATTTTGCCTTCCAATACAGGGGGTCTCGTTGGAGAGCTAAGATCCAACATGCTTCAGGGCAAAAAAAAAAAAAAAAAAAAAAAAAAAAAAAAAAAAAAAAAAGCCATATTGTAACAAATTCAATAAAGACTTTAAAAATGGCCCACATCAAAAAAAGAGAAAAAAAGAAAGGGACTTGCCTGGTGGTGCAGTGGTTAAGAATCTGCCTGCCAGTGCAGGTTACATGGGTTTGAGCCCTGGTCCGGGAAAATCCCACATGCTGCGGAGCAACTAAGCTTGTGCGCCACAACTGCTGAGCCCGTGCTCTAGAGCGCGCGAGCCACAACTACTAAGCCGACATGCCACAGCTACTGAAGCCCACGTGTGTAGAGCCTGTGCTCCGCAACAAGAGAAGCCACTGTGATGAGAAACCCACGTACTGCAACAAAGAGTAGCCCCTGCTCACCACAACTAGAAAAGCCCGCACAGCAATGAAGATCCAATGCAGCCAAAAAATAAATACATAAATTACTTTTTTTTTTTTTTTGGCGGTACGCAGGCCTCTCACTGTTGTGGCCTCTCCCGTTGTGGAGAAGGCCTAGCCGCTCCGCGGCATGTGGGATCTTCCTGGACCGGGGCACGAACCTGTGTCCCCTGCAACGGCAGGCAGACTCTCAACCACTGCGCCACCAGGGAAGCCCATAAATAAATTAATTTTTAAAAAATACTTTAAGAAAAAGAATAAAGCTGCTTTGAACATTTTTGTATAAGGCTTTCTATGGACGTATATTTTCGTTTTTCTTGGGTAAACACTTAGGAGTGGAATTGCTGGGTCATAAAATAAATGATTATTTAACTTTTAAGAAACTGTCAAAAAGTTCCCTTAAATGGTTGTATCACTTTACACCTCAGCTAGCAGTGTATGAGAGTTCTGATTGCTCCACATGCTTGCCAAGTTTTGTTATTGTCATTTTCTTCATCCTAGTATTCTAGTGGGTATGGTGAATGTGTAGTGGTATCATCATTTTTCTTTTACCTTTTACAGTGCTATTTGGAATTCAGATATGGTCCATACATTCCAATTGATTGCCTCATATATTTATCCTGTGGGTTCTCCCTCTCCTTCCCCTCCTTCTCTCACTCTTTCTCTTGTTTCATATAGTTTGATTGTTTAAAAGCCTGGGTTTATCTTATGGATGTTACTGCAGTCTAGATTTTGTTGATTAACGTGTTCTTCTGACTTCTGTGTTTCCTATAAATTAGTAGTTAACATATACTGGCTATATCAGATTCATTCATGATCATTGTTTAGATCTTTTCTTCTGGGATTGCAAAATATATAGTTATCTTTCAATTCTATCACTGCTTTTAATTTATGAGATTGAATAATTCTATAAAAAGAAATTTCATTATGTGGTCACCCTGAGGTAAAGTTTGTACAGAAGGGCAGGATAAATTATTTCCGTTATTTACTAGTTTTGAAAGTATGAGTTGGTTCCCTGGCATCCTCTAGATATTTAGAATGTTTAATGTGTTGTAATCCTTTGCAGTTCTCATTAATGCTCAGAATGTTCCATTTTTGGTCAGTGGGAGCCTCTACAAGTTGACCTCTGAATCCATTTGACAGGACTCTTTTCGTCTTTGAGAGTTTCTTTGATTTCCAGTGTAATGAAGTGTTCCAGTCTCATCTTGTACATTTCCTACCCAAACCTGGAATTGCCTTTTTCTTCAGGGAGCCCTGGTTCCTTTAGTGGGAAATTGTATTTAGAGACCACATACTGGGTACTAGAAGTGTTAATTGCTACTGGGTTAGTCATTTTTTCTAGACTTTTTCATTGAACAGTGATAGGAATTTTTTTTAAACTTCTTGTACAATTTTTAAAGGTGACACGTCATTTACAGTTATTACAAAATATTGGCTGTGTTTCCTGTGTTGTACGATACATCCTTGTAGCCTCTCTTACACCCAGTAGTTTGTACCTCCCACTCCTCCACCCCTGTATTGTGCCCCCCTCTCCCCCACTGGTAATCACTAGTTCTCTATATAGGAAATTATTGTTTTAAGACAAATACATCATGAGTTCATGCTAAAACTTTCTTGTTTTTAAAATTTATTTTATTTTATTTTTTTGGCTGCGTTGGGTCTTTCTCTAAGAAAGCTGCGCGCGGGCTTTCTCTAGCTACAGCGAGTGGGGGCTATTCTTTGTTGCAGTTCCGGGCTTCTCATTGTGGTGGCTTCTCTTGTTGCGGAGCATGAGCTCTAGGCACGCGGGCTTCAGCAGTTGTGGCACGCGGGCTCAGTAGTTGTGGCTCGCGGGCTCTAGAGCGCAGGCTCAGTAGTTGTGACACACGGGCTTAGTTGCTCCTCAGCATGTGGGATCTTCCCGGACTAGGGCTCGAACCCATGTCCCCTGCAGTGGCAGGCGGATTCTTAACCACTGTGCCACCAGGGAAGTCCCCATACTAAAACTTTCAATTCAAATAACAAGACTACACGGTTTTACATAGCCTCATAGATCTTACATCTCTTTTTTTTTCCCCAAGCTCGAAGTCCCACTGCGCAGTGACACCAATACAGTTACTTATTTGCTTTACCCCACAGCATATCAACATGTAATAATATCAGGATAACTGTACCAATACTACTTGAAAACAGTTTAAGATTTTTTTGGCAGTTCCTGTTACTTTTATGGTATATTCTACTAGAAATATAGTCAGGGTACTGTGTTTTAAAGTTACTTGGGATTGTTTCTTCCTGTGTGATTATGCCTTAAAATTAATTGATGGGTTTATGTCATTTTGCTTTTGATTCTTATGATTTTAAAATTTAATAGGTAATGTACAGTATTTATGTTTTCAAAGTCAAGTCTACAAACAAGGAATATTCAGAGAGGTCCAGCTTCTATCCTTGTCCTTTCCACCCTATTTCCTCCCTCCCTCTCCCATAGGTAACCTTGGTTTTAATATATGGTTTATTCTTGCATTTTAAATGATAGAAATATGCATATTTGTATTCCTATCTTTCTTAGCTAAATGGGAACATACTATAATACTTATCTTTACCTTTTTGCTAAGTTTAAAAAACATATATTTCTGCCTGAGTTACAGTGGCATTTATGGTTGATAATATTTATTGTAGACTCTTGAAGCTAATGGTGGAAGTAGAGGTGGGGGAGTGTGGACAGCTAATAAGAACGTACTTTAGGCACCTCTCAATACCATGAGAATGACAGCCATTTGACTATAATTAGGATTACATTTGGGGTTGCCGGGTTCCATTTCTGTGTCTGTTCTTAGGCCAAACTTTTTCTTCCTTAGACCTCAGATTTTCCTGTTCTTGACCCCAGCTGGACTGCTCAAGAAGAAATGGCCCTTTTAGAAGCTGTGATGGACTGTGGCTTTGGAAATTGGTAAGAGCTTGTGAGTAAGGGTTCTCCTGCGCTGGTGGGCTCCAAAAAGAAGGTGCTGTTGAGGGTAAAAGGAGGAGCCTCAGGAAAAGGAGTTTGGGGGCCATATGTTGCTTTTCTATTGACCCGTGACTTGGAGACAAGTCCTCTTCCCCTCTGCACATTATTTTCCAGGCCTGAATGCCTCACAGGGCTATGAGATGTTTAGTGGTCCATGACTGGACAGCTCTAAAGGGCTGCTTTGGACATATCCACACAAGGAAGGTTGGTCATTCCTTTCTGAATAGTGGGGAAGTTTAGACTTATTAGTTATTGCTCCTTTCTGATTTCTGAATTTTTCTTGGCTGTAGATGCCCTCGTCATTTAAGTGAGTCAGACTTTAGACAGCGATGGCTTACCTGAGATTCAAGTTTGACAGACTGCCTATCCTCATTCCCTGTTTTTAGCTTGTAGATACCTGCAAGAACTGAATAGCACTCATGGCTGTTGCCATGTGAGGTGACACTGCTTAATAATACCACCACTTTCATTTTTACCTTTCGGGAGTACTTTCACACCGATGATTTCATTTTGTGAACTAGATAGCAGAGGCCTTTTTTTTTTAATGATTTTATTTATTTATTTAGTTAGTTATTTTGGCTGAGTTGGGTCTTTCTTGTGTTGCGCGGGCTTCCCATGGCAGTGGCTTCTCTTGTTGAGGAGCACGGGCTTGTTGCCCACGGGCACACGGGCTTCAGTAGTTGTGGCTCGTGGGCTCTAGAGCGCAGACTCAGTAGTTGTGGCTCATGGGCTTAGTTGCTCCACAGCATGTGGGATCTTCCCAGACCAGGGATCGAACATGTGTCGCCTGCCTTGGCAGGCAGATTCTTAACCAATGCGCCACCAGGGAAGTCCCAGCAGAGGCTTTTTTTTTTTTTTCTTGCGGTACGCGGGCCTCTCACTGCTGTGGCCTCTCGCATTGCGGAGCACAGGCTCCGGACGCGCAGGCTCAGCGGCCACGGCTCACGGGTCCGGCCGCTCCGCATCATGTGGGACCTTCCCAGACCGGGGCACGAACCCGTGTCCCCTGCATCGGCAGGCGGACTCTCAACCACTGCGCCACCAGGGAAGCCCCAGAGGCATTTTAAAATATATTTTGTTCATGAAGAATCTGAAGCTTAGGGAGTTAAATGACTTCTTACGACCACATAGTTTATTAGGGAAGGGCCCTTAACTAGCTCTTCCTCGTCCTGACTTCCTAGTGTAGATAATCTATCCTGATGTTAATAGAATATACTGTGCTGCCTCCCTTAGGTCCAGGGCCTTGAAGAAGGAGAGTTGAGTTCAGTTCACATTTTGCTCGTATCCATTCATTCAATATTTATTAAGTATCATAAAATACTGTTTACTATGGGAATACCAAAGAAGACAGGAAAAGTGATCATTCGCTTGCTAGTCATCTTTGGCCTGGTTTTTCACTTTTTGCCTACCATTCTAACTGTAAAATAGGCTAATCCTCTTTGTCCCCCTTCCCTCTCAGCAAACCACAAAAAGACCATTATTTCTCTATCCACTGTGGGTAAGACACTAAGCTTGGTGGTGAGGATGCTAGAGCCAAGAATTATGACATGTATCCTGACCTCAAGAAGCTTATAGTCTAGTAGGGGAATCAAAATATTTGTACAGATGATTGAAGTACACAAAGCAGAGCATAGCAATGCCTTAGGAGAAGGACAAGTGAAATACTGTGGAAGAGAGAAGTTGAGAGCAGACTTGGAGAAACTTCACCTCTACCTTTCCATCATCTGGGCCAGGAGTCAGAGGTCTTCAGTAAAAATTAAGTGGCTTTGTCACTTATGTGCTTTGTGTTCTTAAGCAAGTTTCTTAATCTCTTTGGGCCTCATCTTTCATCTGTGAAATTGAGATAGTAAATACACTACATAGTTAATACTAGGATTTATTTAAATTATGTTGTGAATATTTCTAGCTGAGAGCTTGGTCTTTCGTGAGAGCTCTAGTAAAGAAATGTCTGTTCATGTGAAGTGTTTTGTAAACTATAAAACATGTGAATATAAAACTACTCTTGGGGCTTCCCTGGTGGCGCAGTGGCTGAGAGTCCGCCTGCCGATGCAGGGGACATGGGTTCGTGCCCCGGTCTGGGAAGATCCCACATGCCGCGGAGCGGCTGGGTCCGTGAGCCATGGCCACTGAGCCTGCGCGTCTGGAGCCTGTGCTCCGCAACGGGAGAGGCCACAACAGTGAGAGGCCCGCGTACCGCTAAAAACAAACAAACAAAAACAAAAAAAACTACTCTTATGTACATTTTGAATGTTCTGAAGTGGCTTATTATTATTTATAGCAATTCTTTCAGTGGAGCCTAGCTTACATATTTTCTAGTGGTCTTCCTTTCTTTTGGTAGAAAGGAAAGGACGTTTTATTTTTTTGGCCATGCCGTACGGCATGTGGGATCTCCATTTCCCGATCAGGGATCGAACCCGCACCCCCTGCATTGGAAGAACAGAGTCTTAACCACTGGACCACCAGGGAAGTCCAGGAAAGGGCTTTTTAAATATTGTTTCCGTATCTCGGAATAGCAGGATTTGGAACATCAGATTGCACCAGTACTATGTTTATATTTGTCTCAATGTTCTGCTGATAGCTCCATGATATCAGTTTGGAGGTGTCAAGTTCCAGACATTATATAGGTAGGACTTAAAATATGGAAAGAACAAACCATGCTTTGACCATTGTGTATAAATGAAAGCACTACTTCCTTCTCTCTTTTTCGACACTCTAGGCAGGATGTAGCCAATCAAATGTGCACCAAGACCAAGGAGGAGTGTGAGAAGCACTACATGAAGCATTTCATCAATAACCCTCTATTTGCATCTACCCTGCTGAACCTGAAGCAAGCAGAGGAGGCAAAAACTGCTGACACAGCAATTTCATTTCACTGTAAGTACCTCCATGTATCAGTAGGAGAGTCCAGTGTTTAGCTTATTATAATTAATCATCTCAGTGTTAAGTCCAAGAAGCAATTTGTTATTTTTGTCCACTTGGTTGTGGTAATAATAGCAAACTTTTCGTTTTCTTTTTTTAAATTTAATTTTATTTATTATTATTATTATTTTTTTGCGGTATGCGGGCCTCTCACTGTTGTGGCCTCTCCCATTGCGGAGCACAGGCTCCGGACGCGCAGGCTCAGCGGCCATGGATCACAGGCCCAGCCGCTCCGTGGCATGTGGGATCCTCCCGGACCGGGGCACGAACCCATATCCCCTGCATCGGCAGGCAGACTCTCAACCACGGCACCAACAGGGAAGCCCATCGTTTTCTTTTTTTTAAATCTCATGTGACTTAGGGACTCATGGGTCTTCTAACAAAACATAACCAAACCCATGATGAATTATAAATGGACATCTTTGCTGAATGACTCCCAGAGCACGAGTAATGAAATATGAATGTTTTTCTTTCCCCGCCTCTTTCCTCATACTCTCTGGAGACAGTTTCATAGGTGACTAACTCAGAACCTGATGATACCTCCTATTTGGATAGCCCTTTGGTTGTTAGCACTTTGTTCTCAAATGCCTTAGACCATTTCTTCCTCATGGCAACCCAGTGAGACAAGCAGAGCAAGTGCTTTTGTTTTGCACACAAGGAAACTGAGATTCAGAAAGGTTAAATAATTTGTACAAGGTCACGGGACTAGTGGATGTTACAGTAGAGCCTGGACTCAATTCTGGCTTACTCCAAATCCAGTGGGGTTTTTTGCCTGTCAGTTGGATGGGATTTGTAAATTGAGATTGGTCCTAAGGGGTAAGGGAGCTGAAGCAGACAGGGTAAATACTTAAGTTCTGTAATACTGAAGAAAAGATCCTAGATTTTCTTTCATATTAGGAAAGCAAAAATAAGAGGGAATTTCTGTATTTACTTAGAGGATTCCCTAAGTCTTAGTTTCCTTTTCAAGAAATCAGTTTGTTTCCATTAATACTTTATCTTTTTTTACTTTTTCTTTTTAAAAATCTCTTGCATTTTATTTATCCTCTCAGACGCTTTCTCCAAACAAAAATATTTCAGAGTCTAAATTAGGACTTTCTTTGTGTCACTTTTTTATGCTAGTATCTTATTAAGTAATTAAGAAAAACTAAATTCTTTCAGCTACAGATGACCCTCCCCGACCTACCTTTGACTCCTTGCTTTCTCGGGACATGGCAGGATACATGCCAGCTCGAGCAGATTTCATTGAGGTAAGAGAAACTTATTTTTGTTTAGGATGAGGCTATACCTCTTACCTATAGGTTCCATACCACTAAAAAGAGATTTTCATAGCACTGTAACTTGTGGAGCCACACTTTCTCCATTTGAGTGCCTTTTTCTCATTTGTAAATATTTCTTTTAGAAAGGTAAAAGTTCTTCAGAGCAAAATCTTATTTCTTTTCTTTTTTTATTAATTAATTTTATTTTATTTATTTTTATTTTTGGCTGCATTGGGTCTTCGTTGCTGCGCGCGGGCTTTCTCTAGTTGGGGGGAGCGGGGGCTACTCTTCGTTGTGGTGCGCGGGCGTCTCATTGCAGTGGCTTCTCCTGTTGCAGAGCACGGGCTCTAGGCGCCTGGGCTTCAGTAGTTGTGGTGCATGGGCTTAGTTGCTCCGCAGCACGTGGGATCTTCCCAGACCAGGACTCGAACCCGTGTCCCTTGCATTGGCAGCCAGATTCTTAATCACTGCGCCACCAGGGAAGCCCCAAAAACCTATTTCTTAAGTTTCACTCCACATCTAGGGGGTTTCAAGGTTGTACTCTATCAGGGGGTTGGCAAACTTTCTATTAAGGTCCAGATAGTAAATATTTTAGATTTTGTAGACCGTAAATTCTCCGTTGGAACTAAACTTTGCCATTATTATGCAAAAGCAGCATAGATAATAGTAAACAAATGAGCATGCCTGTGCTCCAGTAAAACTATTTACAAAAATAGGCAGTGGGCTGAATTTGGTCTATAGGCTGTAGTTTGCTGACCTCTATACTATATTCACAAGTTTATAAAGAATGATGAATGTGTATAAAAACTACGTGTTCTTCATTCAGCCATGGAGTTAAAAGCCATGTGAATGTAGTCACAAGTCTCTTGATTTATCACCTAATCCGCAATTATAGTACTCTTGGAGGTAATTAAAGTTTAGCAAACTACAGACAATTTTGCTAGCCACACCCAGGTCAGCATTTTGTTCATGGCAGCTGCTATTGTAGAGCTACCTCAGAGACACTGCCCCTACAGATTGTAGTCGTTGAATAGAACATGAACAAATCTACCCATTGAGCTAGGTAAGCAATATTATGGGATAAATAGAGCCCTAGATGGCGGTAAAAAGGTAGATGAATTAATGCAGACAATTTTCTTACCTAAATATTGGTTAGGCCAAAAAGTTCGTTTGGGTTTTTCTGTAAGATGTTTCGGAAAAACCCGAACGAACTTTTTGGCCAACCCAATACTCGAAGGGCTAGTAGGAGTTAGATTTTCTTGAGTTAGATTTCATGAACAGACTACTTTTAGTTTTTAGAACAATATGTTTGGCTTTATTCCTGGACTCATAACTTTCTCATTTTTTGCTGTCACTGCTGCCTGAAAGCCTCTCAGTTTTTTTCCCATGACTTATTTACTTATGGCAGTTGTCCTGGCCTTGTACTCCATTCAGTACTTTTTAGCAAGTGTTTGTTTATATATTTGCCATTTGCTTCTAGAGCATGGCTCCTGTAAAGGCATTACTCAAAGCTGATGGATTTTAGATGGGAATTTTTTTTCCCTAAACAGGAGTTTGACAATTATGCAGAGTGGGACTTGAGAGACATTGATTTTGTTGAAGATGACTCGGACATTTTACACGGTAACATTTTATTACAGCCAATGTTTTTATTGATTGCAAACTGTGATGACACTGTATTGGGTGCTAGAAATATAAGAATGAATAAAACATGTCTCCTGCCCCTTATGGGACTCAAATTACAGTGGTTAAGTTGCTGAACTTACCCTGTTGCTGGGATTTGACCATAATGAGAAAGATCATTTGTGATGGTGGTGAGAATGTTGATCACATAAGGGTAGTTGGGAATATCCCATCCCTTGGACTGTGTAAGCTTTCTTTTGGCTGAGATAAGCCTACACTGAGGTAATTGGTTAAATGGCCCTCACTGCCTCCTTAAAAGAAAGGGGATCAGGGTGAAGACCTTGGGACTTCAATAACAACTGCTGATACTAGATGTTCACTATAATGTGTTACCCAAAATTTCCCATAGCAGGGGAAAAGAATGGAAGTTCAAGAGTTTTTAGACCAAGATTGGAAATCTCTTGTTTCTCAGAACTGTTGAATTTTTAGCACTTCTGAATTCTCATCTAAGATTAACCCTCTAAGGATTTATGTCAACTCTTTTGTTATAACGTAAATGGCTAATGCCAACAAGGCTTTCAAAAGTGGCTGGTTAGACTTTCGGTGAATGTCTTTTTTTCCTTCTTTCCATTTTCAGTGAACTACATATTTAAAATAATCCCCAATCTTCTGTTTCATTTCAGCCCAGAATTGAGGGTGATGCAGTAGGTGAATAATGCTCCTTTGGATTCTGTATTTCCTAAACAACACCCTCATTGCTTTTCTTAAATGTATATCCCAGTTGGAAAGGCAAGTTAGAATCCTTGTTAGATTTTAAATCAAATTTCCATGTTGCATTAACTGGTCCTCTGTCACTTGAAGGGGAGTTTTATTCTTCTCTCCGTAGAAGAGCTGACTAGATGTTTGTTACATCAGATCTGGGACCAAGAAAGAGTCCTCATAAAAATTTTACCTTTAGAGTTTTTTCTCTACATATTTCTTGAGCAGTTTTCTTTGCAAAATTTCATTTCTCTTCTCCCACACAACTTTAAGGAAAGTCAAAGTGACGTAGATTGAACTAAAAGAGGAAAGCTTTAAAGCAAACTGCTTTAGCATTCACTAGAGCCATTGTGTTTGTTCAGCCTTCCATGTCAATCTCTGCTTTTCAACCCTGATAATTCATGTTATTGTCTATTCTCACCTCGTGTGTCATTCTCTTGAAGGCAGTGTGCAGGTTGCCATTCAGTATTCCTCATCATACACACCAGCTTTAATTAAAATGGTATTGTTTCCTGGCTTGTATCTTTCTTATCCAGAATGCAAAAAAGCAGTTTCATAAATATCATTCTTTTAGATAGTATTCAAAAGTACTGAACTTTTGAAAGTCAAAATCTCTTATGTCAGTCATGGCTCAACTATGTAAGCGACTTGCTGAATCACTTCTCCAGGCCCTAATCCAAGTTCTTCATTCTTAAGCCTCAACATTATTAAGAAAATCGTAGTAATGGTTGGTATTTAATTTCACTCTTCATCCTTTGTGGAAGCATGATTTGCAATTTCTGCTGGTGCACTTATGGTCCTTTCTGTAATTAAGTGAGGGCAAAAGGAAAAAAAATCAAAAAGAAGCAATTGATTAGCAAGTTTTATTTCAGTTAGCATTTCAAACCTATAACGTACTTTAGTTATTTGTGTTCTTTCTACAGTTTCTACAGCTTTTTAAGTTATTTGATTCTAATTCATTTGAACTAAGAATCAGTTATTGATTGTTATACATAAGTAGTTTTTTTAAAATTAATTAATTAATTTATTTATTTATTATTTTTGGCTGTGTTGGGTCTTCGTTTCTGTGCGAGGGCTTTCTCTAGCTGTGGCGAGCAGGGGCCACTCTTCATCGCGGTGTGTGGGCCTCTCACTATCGCGGCCTCTCTTATTGCGGAGCACAGTCTCCAGACGCGCAGGCTCAGTAGTTGTGGCTCACGGGCCTAGTTGCTCCGCAGCATGTGGTATCCTCCCAGACCAGGGCTCGAACCCGCGTCCCCTGCACTGGCAGGCAGACTCTCAACCACTGCGCCACCAGGGAAGCCCCATAAGTAGTTTTAACAGCGCTTATATAATAATAATCCCTGCCTCTCCTTTCCCTCCCTGTCTAGTAGTGAACTGTAAGATGTTTAGATGGGTGCTTTTTAAAAGGTGATAGCATCATAAAGAGGTTTGGCAGGACTGGAGATCAAAGGGATGACTTGCTGGTGCCACAAAGGGATGCTTTGTTTATGGCTCTAAGTTCTCATATTAGCTCCTTCGGCAGTATGACCCACTGTCCAGTTGGGCACATATTGTTCCAGCAGTTTCTCCTGAACTCTCAGTGAAGGGGTCTAGGAGCCCAAGGAAACTAGGAGGGAATGAGAAGGAGCTTTCTATGCACACCTAGAACAGAAAGAGGGGCACATATTTTGTGCACATCAGGACAGTGATTCAACCTCAGGCTTGCTTCTGAGTCACTGTGATCTTGGGCAAGTCCTTGGAAATTTGCATGCTGTTTCTTTGTGTCCCTGGCCAGCAAAGAACAGATGATGCTGATTAGTCAGGGTGAATGTCTCCAATGAAACATGGTACATAATTCAGATTGGTGTTATTGCCATTCCATTATACTCCTAATATTACTGAGCATTAATAACATTCCTTTTATGTTTCCTCACTTACAACTACTAGAAGGAAGTAAACTGGCTGGGCTTTGTATCCCATCCCTTAGAAAGACTGCATCTAGAAAATTGGGTGATGCTATGAAGCTCTTTTCCTCACCCAAGACTTTTGCTGTGTTTCATGGAATTTGTCTAATAGAGGGGGTTTAAATGGTCCATTATAGAGGCCTGGGACACAATGGAGGGACATGCAGTTGCATTCCACCATACCAGAAGTCTTTCAGAATGGGCCCCCGAAAGATATTGCATGTGAAGTAGTGTCTAAGGAAGAAAATAAGGAGGTTCTGAGATCCCTAGATGACACCTCCTCGTATTTATTGAAATAAGCAGAAATTATTGGTCCAGAGAGAGAGATGCAAAAGACATAACTCAGCGCTCCCCGTGGCATGTTGTGGGATGTCAGTTCAGACACACAGCATAGTTTCCTTTTCCTTAGGGGACATCGCTCTCCATCTGCTTTCATTTGGGGAAATCTCTCCTAAATTTGTGGACTCTTCTTTCTCAGAGTTTCACAGGTGCTAAGCCCTGCGTGCAGCATCTTCTAATCATTGCTGGCCCATAACCCAGGCAAGCAAGAGGCACCATGAGCTCTTTCCTCTGCACTGGGCCTGTGTTTTCAGCGCTTCTCAGGGTTGCACATTAGAGCAGTTTACTCTCCTTCTATTTGGAAAGCCAATTTCAGCAAAATTTCTTGGCCAGATGTGGATACTCCCCCACTTTTTCCCCCCAAATTTTCTTTCTTTGGTCCGTATTGTCAGCCTTTAGAGCCTTTAACAATTAGTCAATCAGAGGTCCAGCCTAGTCACTGTGCCTATTACCTACCTATTGGCAGTGCCCTTCCCTTGATGGTGATTTGGCTGCTTTATGTTTAGGACTTTTTAGACATAAATGCTATTAATAATAATAGCTAATACATATAGCACTTACTGTTTGCCAGGTACCATTTAAGTCCTTGACACACATGAACTCATTTAATCCTCACAAAACTCTTTGGGTTAGGTGTTATTACTATTACCCCCATTTTATAGATGGGGGAATTGAGGAGTAGAAATCTCAAGTAACTTGCCTGAGGTCAAGAGGTAACCTGCAAGTGGCAGGGCCATCTTGAGTCTGTGCTCTTAATACTGTGCTATACTTAATGTCTCTACAACCTTGAACCTTTTTTTTTTCTTTTTAGATTTCACATTTTTTATCTTCTGTAGCTTAACCACATTCCTGAGAAGTGGAAATAGATATTTTCCCATTCTACTTTCAGAGAAATGCACAAAGGAGTGAAGTGACTTGGCCAAGCTTCCTAGTTGCTGACTTTAACCATTAGGTCACATGGTTGTCTTTCCTTCATAGCACTACTTGTGTACATCTCGGCCAAAATCTTTGGGGGGAAATGACTTTTAAAAAGCTTTGCTTCTGGGGAATACCTGAGCCACAGGTTTGTGCTTGTGTGCTTGCAGTAGGGATTTTGATTGGCTTCCCTGCAGTTAAGGCCTCTGAGTAGGTTTTCTTGCCAAGCAAGCAGTAGGTGCCTTCTGTCAGGAAAACAGAAACATGTTGCCAGCTATTTTGAACAATGTTAGAAATACACTGCAGTGGGAAGGAGCTGCCTCTGACTTCTGCCCACTTCTTGAAATATTTTAAGGCCAACCGTTTGGAAACTTTGTTATCAGTCCCCAGTGTGGTCACAGGGAGACTAGTCATCCCCCAAAACTGAGATTTCAGAGGCCTGGCATCAGTGGAGAGGTTATGGGTGCTTTGGGTTTGTTTGTTTTTAAGGAGCTCTGGGTCTTTGCCTGCTTTACTAGACCCTCCACTCACTTTAAGTAGAATATGAACCTGTGATTCTCATTCTTTCAGTGTCTGCCTCTCATTTCTGTTCTGCCTGCTGTGCTGTGGTCCTCCCTGGGTTATTCATGCAGTTAAGATCTTATAATCAGTTGCTGTTATCGGAGTGTGCTTCATAAAGACAAGGGAGAGCTTCAACTATGAATTTTTCTCTGGGAGAATTCCAGTTCTCCCATTTGTTTCTCTGTGTTCCCTTCCTTCCCTTTGTTCTCCAGGGCCAGCTGTACAAGTTTAAACTACTGAAATGATCAAGCACCAGAACCATTTATCAGCAGGATTTATTTATAGAGTTTTTCTGTAACACAGTCTCTTCAGTTTTTTTTCTGTTTAATTAAGTCATTCCCACACAAATCTCAAGAAACAACATGATAAGTTAGTGTCTTAGAAAAATTACCGAAATATTTTGTCAAAATTAGCACTAACTTCCACTGGATCTTCAGGTAGTTTCTTTCATGTTGAACTCATCTTATTATTAAGTAGATAAACGAGATAAGGCACCTAAAGAGCCTGCAACATGATAAATACTCAGTGCATGTTAACTATTTACTTAGCTACTTTATTTGCTTCTCTTTCTGCCTTGAAATGTTGACGTCCTAATTTCTCTTTCTCATAAGAAGTAGAGGTAGCGTCCACTATAAAACTTGTGCTTGGCTGTACTGCGTGTCAGAGACGGTTCCTCTTCTCCCCATGCCTCCTTCCTCTCCCACCACACAGTTATGTAAAGCACATCTCCACCAGCACAGCATTCTAGAGCCTGTCATTCCCCAGCAGTTGTATTAGGAAACGCTGGCAGGGTATGGGGCATTCTGTGGTACCTATGCTTCTATATGGAACACATGTAACTCGAGAAAGAGTTCATTTATAGAAGGAGTTCTGCAACCTGAAAAAACATTTGAAAACCATTGCCTTAAATCTTGGACCTGATATTATTGAATTATTTTTAGTTTGTGGGCAGTTATGAGGAAAAATGAAGCAATGTTGTTTAAATTTTTGAACTTGTTAGAAATGAACAGAAGATCCATGATAGTTAATACTTTTTTTTTAATACTTAAAGTTTAAAAAGTATTGCAGTCATTCATCTCTTCAGGTCATCCAGCTAGAATTTATGTTATTTTTACCTCAGACCCAAGGGAGAATGGCCTGGATAAAGTATTCCTGGTCATTTCCCAGTGATTGAAGTTATATACAGATGTAGTGCATCTGCTCATAGCTCAGCATGTTAGATTTTGGTATTTCTTTCTTCTAATCTGAAACTCTAACAGATGTAATTTCTAGTCCATGTGTTACTAAAGTTCAGACTCCTTGTTGAACTGTTTTATGAAAGCTAATAATACACATAGCAAAGCATGGTCAAAAGAGATGTTCAGGAAAAAGCAGAAATTGTTATCTATAGCGTAATCCCATATAAACATATACTTAGGAAAAAAGAACTTTACTGTAATTTACTGATACAGAAATTCACTATCCTAGGGTATTTTTGTTTCCAAGAGACAGATTTCCTAGACCAGTGAGTGTGGAATAGTTAGCAGTATGAGGTTGAAAGTTTAGGACAGCTTGGGCAAAAGATTGCTTCTTGTCTTGGCTTTATTTATATGTAAGGGTTTGTTTGTTTGTTTGTTTATAGCTCTGAAGATGGCTGTAGTAGATATCTATCATTCCAGGTTAAAGGAGAGACAAAGGCGAAAAAAGTAAGTCTAGAAAACCATCCTGCCTTCTTTTGGCTTTGGACTATTGACCACATACAGCCCATAATAACAAGTTCCACTTGGGGCTCATCTTAGGACCTTGAGGAATACACTTAACCTCCTTGGATCTCAATTTTTCCATCTGTTAAAAGGAGATAATAATACCTCTCCTATTCTTGCTTTTTAACCTCCTCCTTCCTTACCCTTTCTTGATGTCTTGGTGACCAATGAATAATATGGATACACTGTTTTAAGGAAAAAAGGAACAAGAAAAATTCAAGATATTATTAAGTTGTTACACTTAATAATGCTCTATTCTAACTGCTCAGTTTTTATGAGAAGTCTTTTATATACAAGGATTTCAAAGAAATTATGAACAAGTTTCAGTCACTCTTGGTTATTCCTTCTCTTTGCAACAGAACAAAAAACATACATTGAGACTGAGAAATTATGGATCCCAAACCCCTATTGGATTACAGAGACTTTAACAGTTCAGAGAAGGGTATGCGGAGGGTGTGTATGTATGTGTAGGCATGTTACCATGGTGTTAATAACTAGAGATACAGTGGCATCACAACAAGAAAAAGGAATGGGACTTGGGAGGCACTCTGGAGGGACCAAGACATGATCTAAAGTAAAGCTCACTCTCTGCGTGTCTGGAGTTAGCTTCTAAGAAGCGCTGCAGAAGATTACCCAGCTGTTCTTGTGAGAAGCCTCATTGCTAGTCATGAATACCTCCGGTATAAATCAGAGGTTCCAGACACGTAACTCTGCATGGTTTACCTAAACCTATTTTTCTTAAAACACGGAATTAGAGCTAGACAGTGTTGTAGAACTCAGTAGTTGAGGTCGCTATTAGGTCTTATGTTTTATGATGACCTTCCATTAAACATGCACAAGATTTATTTCAAATAGCTTCAAGGCATTCTGTGAATGTACAGTTGTAATTGTTGAGTGTGTGATCACAGATTTCCCTTAAACGGCTGTTCTCAATAACATTTCCCTAAGCTGAATAGATGATTTTTATGATATGGACACAGATTCCCTTCTGTTTCATCTTAAGTTACAGACATGTGTTTTTCACTATTTGTGAGTGCTTATTGATCTATTCATTCATCCAGCAGATAGTTATTGAGAATCTACAGTGCCCAAGGAGAGGAAAAATATATGATGCTTGAGAGCCTAAAATTGTGCTAGAGACTTACTGACCTGCAGAACTTTGTGGGGAGTGACTTCTCTGGACCTCAGTATTCCCCCTTGCAGTGTTTAGGATGTCTAATGAAAGCTGTGTGTGGAAAACATTGTTAAATGTGAAACTGATTATCATATATATGTTTTTCATTCTAGAATTATAAGAGACCATGGATTAATCAACCTTAGAAAGTTTCAGTGTAAGTATTAGTTTTCCTTATTTTAAAATTTCTCCCAACATTATTGAATAGTTTTAAACAAATCATTTATGACAGTAGTTCTTAATCAAAGTTGCCTATTAGCATCACCTAGGAAGCTTTAAAAAATTCTGATGCCTGGGGCTTCCCTGGTCGCTCAGTGGTTGAGAGTCCGCCTGCCGACGCAGGGGACACGGGTTCGTGCCCCAGTCCGGTCCGGATGCCACGGAGCGGCTAGGCCTGTGACCCATGACCAGTGAGCCTGCGCGTCCGGACCCTGTGCTCCGCAACAGGAGAGGCCACAACAGTGAGAGGCCCGCGTACCGCAAAAAAAAAAAAAAAAATTCTGATGCCTGACAGTCACCTCACGCTAATTAAGTCAGAATCTCTGGAGGTAGAGCTACAGCATCTGTATTTTTTTAAAGTCTTCAGGGCAGTTCTGTTGCATTGTAAGAGTTACAGACCATTAATATATGGTCAATAACACTAGCATGAGAATTCTTTTTTTTTTAAATTAGTATAGTAATTAAAGCATGAATATTAATGGATCATTTTCTGGAACTGGATAGGGTTGGGTTTTGGAATTATATGTTAAACATAAAATAACTTTGACCATCAGGTTGTGAAAATATTTTTATGGAAAAAAATTAACAGAAAGTGATAGCTTTATTTTGCATGGTCGGGGCAAACAAACAAGAAAAGACATTAGCATTGTATGATGATGAAATAAACCTATGATTTTTAAATGATTGCTAACTTTGACCTTACTTTTAAATATTTGGCGATAACCTATGCTGGGCGGAAAGAGTCTCTGTACTTTTTCTTCTCCTACACTGTAGAGTTTGTTCAGAACATAAGAATGATGATATCATAATAATTGCAATATTTATATATGTTTATAATAGTTGTATGTCACAAGACTTTTTTTTGTAAAAGTACCTAATGATTGTGCTTCATATGCTAATTGATAGAATCTTATAGGGTTTGACACTGTGCCAGGAGGGTTCAGGTCAGCCAGTCTTGGGTTAAGTATCATTTAATAGAGTCATGGTCATAAGTAGGTTACATTTTATGTCGTTTACTTTTTCACTTTCCATTACACACATTATGGTGTTTTGATGATGTCACTTCTAATAGTTACATAATATGTTGTATAGATACATAAATATATAATAAAGTGCTTAACCTGTCTTTTATTATTAGATCTTTAGCTTATTTTCAGTGTTTTTCTAATCATTATAAATAAAGCTAAGGTAAACTTGTTTGTGAATAGAGCTTTGTCTGTATTTAGAATTGGTTTTTTAAGATGGATTCCCAGAAGTGGAATTAAATAGGTCAAAGAATATGATTATTAAAAATGCTTAACACATGCTGCCAGACTGTTTCCTAAAAGATGGTTTTATCAATTTTTATTCCTTCTAGCAGTATACAGTATTGCCTATTTAACCTCGTCCTCATCGAGAGCTGTGGGTTTGCAAAAATAACCCAAGGTCAGATCTCCCTTGCCCTTTCTGTAGACAGTAATTGGTCATGTTCTGATAGCCACAGTAGTGGGTTCCTTTGTCTGAATTCCTGGGCTTTCCACGATAGGTCAGTTGATTTTAACCTTTACATAGTAGACCTTGACTCTTGTATAAATTCTGTTCTCAGCTGGTGGACAGAGGTCAGTTTAGCCTCTTTATTCTTTTAACTGTATTTCTTACATACAGAGCTGAGAGGAAGCTCTGTTGCTTCCAAGAAAGAAGTGGTATGTGCATTGTGGTTTGAGAGGTCTTCAGTTGCCATTATACTGAATGTACATGTGACCTTAATATGTAGGCATAGGAGTTTTTTTCAGCAAATTAAAAAGTTTTACTCCAAATGTTTCTGTATTATCCCTGTAGAGGGGGACGGGGGGTTTGGTGGTGAAAATAATCAATTTGTGGCTGCCCGTCAAATCAGCTCCTAGAATTTGTGGGCAAGAATTTCTCCTGCAAAGAAAGAGATTCATCTGAAAAGAGGACTTGATTTAAGTAACTGTCATAAGTGATAGCCTGTATCTTTAGCCTGAGAGTGGACAAAACTAGCCTAGTTACTCTTATTGAAATGACTGAGTAGCAGTTCGAGAGTTCCTGGCCGCTCCAACCTACCAGTTACTGTTGGTGGGTTTTACTACCCATCTTTTTTGCTGATAGCTCTTTTTATTAGAAATTTGGTCAGTAGTGATCCTCAAAGTTGCTGACCCATATGGGTATCCCAAATGGCATATTTGACCATTCACTTCCATCATAGTTATCAAAATATAACTTCATTAGTAGTACATTAAGTTGTGGTACCTAATTAAGTTTAGAGAAAGGCAAAATGACCCATGTAGAAAGTGAAGAAATAAATGCCTCATTTGAGGATATGTAGTTACAGAGATTTTTATTTTTGGTGGAGCGTGCAAGAGATCACACTTTTTCCAGGCTAATCTACCTCTTCTAGATGAATTAGTATGTCTGCACTTCCCTTGTTCTGCAGAAGTTATTTTATATTTTTTTTAATTTATTTAATTTATTATTTTTTGGCCTCGTTGGGGCATCGTTGCCACGTGCGGGCTTTCTGTAGTTGCGGCGAGCGGGGGCTACTCTTCATTGCGGTGCGCAGGCTTCTCATTGCGGTGGCTTCTCTTGTTGCGGAGCACGGGCTCCAGGCACATGGGCTTCGGTAGTTGTGGCGTGTGAGCTCAGTAGTTGTGGCTCGCAGGCTCTAGAGCACGGGCTCAGTAGTTGTGGCGCACGGGCTTAGTTGCTCCGCAGCATGTGGGATCTTCCCGGACCAGGGCTTGAACCCGTGTCCCCTGCATTGGCAGGCGGATTCTTAACCACTG